GCCCTATAGAGGGAGCTGTGGGGCAGCCCTATAGGAGCCCTATAGGGGGAGCTGTGGGGCGGCCCTATAGGAGCCCTATAGGAGCCCGGCTGCAGCCCTCGGGGAAGCCCCGCCCCCTCCCCGTGACGTCACTTCCGCTCCTGCCTCATTACCTACCCCCCGTAACCACGCCCACAAACACTCCAACCACGCCCACTAGGCTCGCAAACCACGCCCCACTGCGCGGCGAGGCCACGCCTCCTCCTCCCAAGCCACGCCCACAAGCCGCTGCAGCCAAACAGGAGGAAGGGGGGGGAGGGGGAGGCGTGGCTTGGCGGTGACGTCACTCGCCGCCCCGCCCTCGGTTCTGCAGTGGAGGTGGGCGGGGCGTAGGTGAGGTGCCGGTGACGTCACGTCCGGTTGTAGCCCCGCCCAGATTTAAAGAGACAGCGCTGCATTGCTGGGGTTTTATTGAGGGGAGGAAATTGGGGGGAAAAGGCGCAGATCTGGGGGTCCGGCGGCCGTCAGTCCTCTGGGGGGGGGGGAGGGCGGTTATGGGGGGCGGGGAGACCCACAGTGCCCCATAGGGACACATGGAGCCCCATAGAAAACCCACAGTGCCCCACAGAGACCCACAGAGACCCCATAGGGACCCACAGTGACCCACAGAGACCCATAGAGACACACAGAGCCCCATAAGGACCCATAGTGACCTATAGAGACCAACAGAGACCCCATAGAGAACCATAGTGCCTCAAAGAGCCCCAATGAGCCCCATAGAAAACCCATAGTGCCCCACAGAGACCCATAGAGACCCATAGGGACCCACAGTGACCCATAGAGACCCACAAAGACCCCATAGGGACCCTATAGAAATCCTACAGGGAGGTTATGGGGGGTGGGGAGACCCACAGTGCCCCATAGAGACACACAGAGCCCCATAGAAAACCCATTGTGCCCCACAGAGACTCCATAGGGACCCACAGTGACCCACAGAGACCCATAGAGATCTCATAGTGCTCCACAGAGACCCCATAGAGACCCATAGAGATCCATAGAGACCCATAGAGATCCATAGTGCCCCATAGTGCCCCATAGAGACCCATAGCGACCCATAGAGACCCATAGAGATCCATAGGGATCCATAGAGCCCCATAGAGAACCCATAGAGACCCACAGAGCCCCATAGAGACCCCATAGAGACCCATAGAGCCCCATAGAAACCCATAGAGACCCCATAGAAACCCACAGAGATCCATAGGAGCCCCATAGAGACCCCATAGAAACCCCATGGAGACCCATAGGGATCCATAGTGCCCCACAGAGACCCCATATAGACCCATAGAGATCCATAGTGCCCCATAGAAACCCCATAGAGACCCATAGAGATCCCACAGTGCTCCACAGAGCCCCATAGAAACCCCATAGCGACCCACAGAGACCCATAGTGCCCCATAGAAACCCCATAGAGACCCACAGAGATGCATAGAAACCCATAGACCCCATAGAGATCCCACAGAGACCCCGCAGCGCCCCATAGAGAACCCCCCTCTCCACCGCTCACCCCCATCTGTGGGGCAGCCCCACGGATGCAGGCAGGGCCGGCTCTCCTCCAGCTCTCTCGTCTGCCCCAAAAGTGGGGCGCAACGGGGCAGCGCCTCCCCCCAGAAAGTGACGTTCACAGGGGTGGCGGAACCCACCTTGGTCGTCATCAGCCTGGGGGGCGAGACCCCATGGACCCCATAGAGCCCATAGATCCCCCATAGACCCCATGGACCCCATGGACCCCATAGAGCCCATAGATCCCCCATAGAGCCCATAGATCCCCCATAGACCCCATGGACCCCATAGAGCCCATAGATCCCCCATAGACCCCATAGATCCCCCATAGACCCCATAGACCCCATAGATCCCCCATAGACCCCATAGATCCCCCATAGAGCCCATAAAACCCCATAGAACCCATAGAACCCCCATAGAACCCCATAGAACCCATAGAACCCCATAGAAACCCATAGAACCCATAGAACCCCACAGAGCCCCCATAGAACCCCACAGAACCCCATAGAACCCCATAGAACCCCACAGAACCCCATAGAACCCCCATAGAACCCATAGAACCCTATAGAACCCTATAGAACCCCATAGAACCCCACAGAGCCCCCATAGAACCCCACAGAACCCCACCACACCCCATAGAACCCCATAGAACCCCATAGAACCCCACCACACCCCATAGAACCCCATAGAACCCATAGAAACCCCATAGATCCCCCATAGAACCCCATAGAGCCCCATAGAAACCCCATAGAACCCCATTAATCCCCACAGAACCCACAGCCCCCCCCACCTACGGGTACTGCGGCTCTATGGGGCGGCAGCGGCGGACGCGGCTCCTCTTGGGCTCGGCCCCACAGGGGGGGTGGCACAGCCCCCACTGCCCCCATGGCGACCAGGAGCCGGGAACTGCAGGTGCCCCATAGACATAGGGGGCGGGTCAGCAGCCGGGGGGGGGGGGGGGGGGTTTGGGGGGTTCTGTGGGGTTCTATGGGTTCTATGGGTTCTATGGGGTTCTATGGGGTTCAGTGGGGTTCTATGGGGTTTCTATGGGGATCCTATGGGGTTCTATGGGGGTTCTATGGGGTTCTATGAAGTTCTATGGGGGTTCTATGGGGTTCTATGGGGATCTATGGGTTTCTGTGGGGTTCTGTGGGGTTCTATGGGGATCTGTGGGGTTCTATGGGTTCTATGGGGTTCTATGGGTTTCTGTGGGGTTCAGTGGGGTTCTATGGGTTCCTATGGGGTTCTAT